AAAAAATGAGGAAAGAAAATCGGTCGTGCAGGGATATGTACCATTGTTATAAACACGGTGACTTTTTCTCAATATCATGCATTCAGATCATCAAGTCACTTTCCACGAAGCATTATTAAAAGAAGGAAAAGGCATTCACCATGGACCCAGACCAAGTTGTCAGCTATCCACTTTCTTTCCCTAATATTTTTTTTGAAGGGAGAGGTGATTGAATTTCAATTAATAATTACAATTGTATTTGTGTTTAAATTTTAATTTTTTTTATAAATCTAAATAATTTGAAATTTGGAGTATTTATTTATAAAAATAAGATCTTATTATAATTTTTTTTACTTCAAAAAAAATAAATCTAATAAATCCAAGATCTTAAAAACTTTGATGCTATTAAACCAATTTTTTTTAAACAAAGAAAATATCTACAATTCTTATGCTTGGGAATATAAAACCAATATAATTAAATCTAGCAAGAAACAAAGAAAAGAGAGTGCCGGAGATTACCTCAACCGGATTTATTACATCCCACACCGAGTCACCAACATCTGATGACGCGGGATCAACGATTTAGCTTCAATCTCGAACCGAGAAATCAAATTTTACCAAACTGAGTATTCACCCTTAAATCTCTACAAACTCTAACCCCTAAAATTTTCTTGGCTTACCCCTCATTTCCCAACCCTTAAGTATGAGAGAGAAAGTGAGAGACCTAGGGTTGGGGCGTGCCCCTCTAGAAGCTTAGGAGAGAGAGGGTTAAAGAGAGAAAGTTGGAGAGAGACCTAGAGGAGAGAGAGTTGTAGGAGAGAGAAAAATATAGAGACCCCTATTTATAGAAAAAAATTAGGTTTACGGTTTCTTAGGGTTTCTCATAGTTTACCTCTTTCTTGAGATTGAATGTGGACGTTGATCAATGTGACTTGTGGGTGAAAGATCTGAGCAATCCATTCCATAGATGGGTCATCAACATTATGGAAGGTGCTTGGACCATTACCCCCCTTTCCTTATACCATTTTTCCATCAATATATTTAAATAAATTGAATCTTATTTAAACATTATTCATTCCATAAAATAACATATTCTTTCCCATACTATTCAAATATATGTCAAGTCAAGATATGATTTCAATATTTAGGATAAGATCTGGTCAATCTTTTCTATATATAATATTAGATCACATGCCACAACATACCTTTCCTAAATTTGAATAACTTGACAACAAAGCAAACAACCAAGAGGTGGGACGTGCCACCTATGTGTGGCACGTGTGGGCCCCACCCACATGTTACATGGTGGGCCTATGTGTACTATGGGCCTCATGATATTTAATAAATTAAATTTTAACTTATTATTTGAATTTTATACTTTTATAAAATCAATAACTTTATTTTTATAAGTTCAAAAATTATAAATAAAATATCAAAAGACTTATAAAAATTTAAATAATAATTCTAAAATAATTACTATCATAAAACAAATATAATTAAATTAATATGATGGGAAATGGATCCATATAGTTTAGGAATTGAATTGACAAGCATGAGGCACTCCACCTTCAACTGTGGACTACGGACCACACTTGCTTTATCAGACTGACCAGTGTTTTCCATGACCCACATTCCAAGCAGGGGCTCATTAGCGGGTAACCAAAGTCTGGCCGATGAGCCAAAGGGTCACAATCCCAGTCTGTGGATTTCAGGTCCTCCCCTAAAGACTAATCAAGGTCACCAAGACCTCATGCGACCACAGCTCTATGACGCATAGGGGTATCTCTCGCACATGCATACGCTTCACCCTAAAGGGTGGATATCTGGCTTTCCCAAACGACCTATCGATATGCATGCTGTGTGATGGATCATGGATGAGGTTTTGGCCCCCATCTCTGTAGGGTCGCATAGTCCCTTGACTCATTCATCCAGGCATAAGCTCCGACCTCATCAATGGATAACCCAGAACCGTTCTCTGTTTGTTCTCTATGCCCAGATACCTTGGGTTTTCCAACCGACTGGCCTAGATCCCTCATCAAGAAATAACCCAGAACCCTTCTCGGTTTGTTTTCTATGCCCAGATACCTTGGGTTTTTCAACCGACTGGTCTAGATCGTCAAGCACAATCCGACATCAGCAAACATCATTTGCTTAGTATGGTCCACGAGGGTCGCACAATCCCTTGGCTCATTCATCCAGACATAAGCTCTGACTTCATCAAGGGATAACCCAAAACTTTCCTCGGTTTGTTCTCGATGCCCAGATACCTTGGGTTTTCCAACCGACTGGCCTACATTGTCAAGCATAGTCCAGCATCAGCAAACATCGTTTGCTTAGTATGGTCCACGAGGGACCACACTCCCACTTAACCCAGAACCCTTCACGGTTTGTTCTCTATAGCCAAATACCTTGGATTTTCCAACCGATTGGCCTAGATCGTCAAGCACAGTCCAATATCAGCAAACATCGTTTGCTTAGTATGGTCCACGAGGGACCACACTCCCACTGAGTTCATGTTCTACTATATTCAGGGTTTTAAAAATCGGCGAGGGTCGCATAGTGTCTCGGCTCATTTATCCAAGCATAAGCTCCGACCTCATCAAAGGATAACCCAGAACCCTTCTCGGTTTGTTCTTTATGCCCATATACCGAGGGTTTTCCAATCGACTCGCCTAGATCATCAAATGCAGTCCGGTATCAACAAACATCGTTTTAGTAGTATGGTCCATGAGGAACCATACTCCCACTTTTACTTCGTATGGTCCACGAGGGACCACATTCCCACTGAGTTCATGTTTTACTATATTCAGGGTTTTTACTTAGTATGGTCCACGAGGGACCACACTCCCATTGAGTTCATGTTCTATTATATTCAGGGTTTTAAAAATCAGCGAGTCGCAACGGACTAGCTCGAATCGACACGAGAATCGGGTACCCCGTGTCGATTCTTATGCAAAATCCGGAATCACCCGATCCTAGAGGAGAATCGACGATTTTGAATCGTGAGTCACCTCTATTACATCATAAATCGTGATTTGAGCCGCTTAGTGACATCACAGGGCGAGTCCTTACCTAAAGACATTTTGGTAATTTTTTTTTTTCAAAATGTCATTCCAAGTTACCCTTTCTCTCCATCGCGGTGGCATTACAGCTTTTGTAAAGGTATTTATATCTTATTGGCTTTCTCCAATTCTTCGATGTGGGACTTGTGCTAAGCCATATTATATTGAAAATTTATACATTATAGGTAAATATTGTACAAAGGTCTTCAGCAATGCGTGAAGGGTTGTTGTGGTTTGCAACAGAGGTTTTATTCGTGACGTTCGAATCCCAATTGGGAGACGCTATTGTGCAAAATTCACTTTTTGTCTTCATAATTTTTTTTTTTAAAAATAATATCATAATTTTTTTTTAAAAAATAATATCATAAAAAAATGAGAAAAATAGTATCATAAAAAAAAAAGAAGAAGATAGGTTTTTACTTTTGTCTTAAACAAAAAACTAAAATTTGTCTTCATAAAAAAGAAAGAAAGAAAGATAGGTTTTTACTTTTATCTTGAAAAAAAAACTAAAATGAAGAAAATAATACGATAAAAAAAGAAAAAAGTAATACAACAAACAAAAAAACAATGGTAATATAATCTTCTTTTTTTTCTTGTCAAAAAAAAGAAGAAGAAGTAATACAACAAATAGCATATTTTCTCGTAAAAAAAAAAATACAACAAGTATTTCTTATCAAAAAAATAAAAGATATTTCTTAATACAACAAATATTTTTTAATACAAACTAGGAATAACTGACCTAATTATAATTTTTATTTTTATAATATGGTAAGCTTTAATATAAATTTAGGAATATTAATTTTAAGATATGATTTGAAATATTTCTCTGTCTCTGACAATCTCTTCCATTAACTTTATTCTAGAATTCTAAAAAATTATATTTTTAAAAATTTGAAGTATTTTTTTGAAAATTGATGCGCATTCGAATAATTTATATATTGATAATCAAATATTTTATTTA